ACTATAATTTTTAGCGTTTGAAAAGCTACCTACCGATTAAATTGGTAAATCAATCTAGACTCATATTGACCTCCCACTGACTACCTTTTGACTATTTCATTCATAGCTCCAATAGGAAGTAGCCAGGAGGAGTTAGAATAGAGAATTGAATTTACTTAGAATGCAGTATATTAGGCTGAATGAGCCTTTAGAGATCATCCAGCTTAACCCCTCTTTTTACATCTTGGTTCAGTGAGACCCAACTTTTCAAGACTTGTGTGTGGTAGAGTCACTTTTTAAGCTCAGATCTTTTAATTATCAGTTCATAATAAACTTCCTGTGAATTGAACACCCACAGAAAGTAGTGGAATTGTGTGCGGCTTGTCAGATACCTAAGAATTGGTAGTAGCCATGCTTTAGCCTTTGTAGCACTGTAAGTAAATACACTCGCCAGTGATGATTATGAGATTTCATCACTTTGGTATTCCAGTTAGGTAGACCTATTAGAAAAGGCCAGTGCTCCTAATCAAACATTATGTATTTTTTTCTAATAGGCATAAACTTTGCCACAATTTTAATTATAAATTATATGATTAATTATAATCATAAAATACTTCTGGGCTTCCCTGGTGGCGCAGCGGTTGAGAGTCCACCTGCCGATGCAGGGGACACGGGTTCGTGCCCCGGTCCGGGAAGATCCCACATGCCGCGGAGCCTGCGCGTCCGGAGCCTGTGCTCCGTAACGGGAGAGGCCACAACAATGAGAGGCCTGCGTACCGAAAACAAAAAAACACTTCTAAGTATGAAGAAACTTAGACTTTATTGCCCAGTGGTTATTTTTTGTTATAATAGATACGTATATCATATTTTGCTGTCAATAGCTTTGTAATTCACACAGCATACACAGTGTCAGGGTAACTTTTGTTCTGATTTATATTACTCTAAGGAGATAAGAGGAGAGGAAATAGCTGACTTTGCACTACAGAGAATGAATACCATACATTCTGAATGCAGGCAGTATTAGAGCAGAAAATGATTCCTTTATTTGTGATCAGTCTACCTTCAAAGTTTCATCAGAATTACATGATTACTTGTTTTTTGCCACTGTAAAAAAAATGAAGCATGTGATTTAAGCTTTCCTTAAAATCAGGTTCTTTTTGCATAATCAGTTTGGAGTTAGCCCCTTTTTAGAAATGATAACAAAAAACCCAAAGCATTTACAACAAGAATTTTGGACTATTGCAGACCATTAATAGGGATTTAAAGATTTGTTTATAAATTGTTGGCTTCGAATGTTTCTTTTTTTCCCTGCCATTACAGTTTACTTTCTATCTGAAATCTATTCAGCTAAAAGCTTGATAAAACAAGGAAATGTGATACCATTCTGGAACTGAAATTCCTTTTTCTCAATGTATTTGGATGAGGTTTACTATTGTTTAAAGATGAATAGGAAAACTGTTTCCCTAGTGTGTATGTGTTTAATTTCTACTTCCACTTCTGTTTTCCTCTAAGAAGAAAATCACATTGTCTAAATTTTCTTGTATAAAGTTTTAAAAAGTCAACTATTAGTGATTCTTATTAAAGGAGTCAGAAAGGGTAAGACCAAACATTTATTGAATATATTCAACAAACCAGTTTCTGTGCTTTATATTTGAAGAGAATGGGATTGACCAAGATTTTAATCCTACTGCTTTGAGTTTATAAAGTGAGACCTTAAAGGAGTAGCCATAATATATTTCTAGTGAGTGAAGGTAGGGAAAGGACTTTATTTCTGCATGATGGGAGATGCAGAGCTGGAGAGAGTTACTGAGATTGGAGTGAAACTCTTGTCCCTAGTGTTCAATGAGTAAACTTTCAGCCTGTAAAATACACAAGAAGAAGCAGGGAAGTTCTCTATATTATTCCTAACATTCAGTAACCCCCATTGCCTATTTTTTCATCTCCTGCTTCCAGACCACAGAGCAGTAGTGGAATAAGTTATAAATCCTTGTATCCCTTTTGCTCACAGCCCTTTTTTTTTTTTGCGGTACGCGGGCCTCTCACTGTTGTGGCCTCTCCCGTTGCAGAGTACAGGCTCCGGACGCGCAGGCTCAGCGGCCATGGCTCACGGGCCCAGCCGCTCTGCGGCATGTGGGATCTTCCCGGACCGGGGCACGAACCCGTGTCCCCTGCATCGGCAGGCGGACTCTCAACCACTGCGCCACCAGGGAAACCCCCTCACAGCCCTTTTGCAGCTGTTTCTCATCACTTCTTTTATTCATCACTAGACTCTGGTGAATGCCCTACAATGACTCCATTTCCTTTACCTCATTCTCACAAGATGATCTTGTCCCTTGCTTTATGTAGAATATTGAGGGAGTAGGATGAGAATTCCCTCATATTCTACCTTTACTTTGTAGATGAAACTACAAATCCTTAGAAGGCTCAAAATTAACTTCTTGATCTATCTTTTCTTCCAGCCTTTATGTAGGATTATTTCTCATATATTAATAATAGTATATATATAGCATCTTCATTTTTCTTGTATCCACAGGCCTCTGTTTTGGCCTTCAAATATCTACACACTTAATGTCTACAGATATTTTGGCCTTAATGAGACCCTGTTCTCAAAAATTGTAATTCTTTTTTCTCCTAACCTCCTCTGCTGTATTAGCACATAAACTCCTATTGATACACTCAGTCTAGGATATGAAAGATAATTATATAGAGTTAAACATATTAAGGACCTTAAAATCTAATTGGCTAGACAAAGTGACAAAAGTCTATAAACATGGTCAGAAGTTCAGAGACCAGGATTAGCATGGTATGTTGTAATTACAATGAGATGTGCAGGTAGATAGGAAGAATGAGGCCATATTATAGAGAATTTGTCAGAAGAATTTGGTGTAAATGTGGAAGGTAATAGGTAATCAAATATAGATGACATCTGTGCATTTTAAATATCTGGCAACTTTCTATAGCATTGTAACATTAATATGGAATATATGGTTATGCTTTTAATTATTGTGGTTGAAATAGCTCTAAAAAAATATAAAATGAGGACCTGCTCTTTAAATAGCCTAAAGTCTTTCTAAGAGTAAAAGAACAATTTTAGGAGTCCAGAATAACAGAAACCAACTCATGCATTGGATAAACGTTACTTGCCAGGGATGACCATGTTCATAAGAGACATTGAATGAGGAACTTGTCGATAAGGAAACTAGAGCAGAGTATCAAGAATTCACAGAACAGGGCTTCCCTGGTGGCGCCGTGGTTAAGAATCTGCCCGCCAATGCAGGGGACACGGGTTCGAGCCCTGATCCAGAAGATCTCACATGCCGCGGAGCAACTAAGCCTGTGCGCCACAACTACTGAGACCTGTGCTCTAGAGCACGTGAGCCACAACTGCTGAGCCCGCATGCCACAACTACTGAAGCCCATGCGCCTAGAGCCTGTGCTCCACAACAAGAGAAGCCACCGCAATGAGAAGCCTGCACATGGCAACAAAGAGTAGCCCCTGCTCGCCACAACTAGAGAAAGCCCACGCACAGCAACAAAGACCCAACGCAGCCAAAAATTAATTAATTAAAAAAAAAATTTCACAGAACAACTCTCCGAGCAACCAATACTAATCAGCTTTGGCACCGAGATTAAACATTTTTACAATCTTTTCCATGTAGGAGTTGGGTAAGTGCTAATCAAGGTTTCATTGAAGAGCCCGACCTTGAATAATGGACAGGATCTCTCTAACCTTATTTTCTTTCACTCTCTGACATGAACTTTTTGGCCTGTGGCAATGTTCTCCACAAGAACCATTATAAATCATACCTGGATGTGTTCATGCTGATATTCCTTTAAATTTAGAGTATTGCTCTCACCTTCCAGCCTTTCTTCAGGTTTGTTTCAAAACCTCATTCGACGTACAAGATTGCTTTTCTCTGAATTCTGATGGCTAATACCCACCACTTCAACTTAGCCCTTTTTGTGGTTTTAATCTCTAATTGGCTTATTTGTCTGGATTTTATAATTACATAATAATCTAGGAAAATATTTCCCACAGAAAATACTAGTTGATTGTAGGGGAAATTTACATCATTTAGCAGGAATGGCTTAAATGTGTGAAAGAAACAAGAATATGCTGAAGACTGGTTGCAGTATGTGTAAGGTCTAATTGGTTTAAAATGAAGTGGTGGGAATTCCCTGGTGGTCCAGTGGTTAGGACTCCACTGTTTCACTGCAGAGGGTGCGGGTTCAATCCCTGATCAAGGAGCTAAAATCCTGCAAGCCACGTGGCGTGGGCAAAAAATTTTTTTAAATTTTTTAATCAAATGGAGTGGTATTTTCTACTTTTTCAGTAACTGAATGATTAAAAAAAAACTTCAGTTCTATATTTCCCACATGTAGATTATGATCAGATCATTTTCTCTTCCTTAATTTTGGTTCCAAACTAAAATTTTAGACTTCAATGCCGTTCACCCAGCTTTGTTCAACAAAATTTTGCTTAAAGAACAGGTACTATTTAGGGTGTTTGTTTTATTTTCCTTAAGAAGCTATTTTGTACAAGGAAGAAGGTTTATACAACCCTTTCAATGAGAATTATGAAGTTTGGGACCCAGGTTAACACTTCTTTTTCCCTCAGGCAATAATAATTAATAAATCCACAAGTCTCCATTAGGATCATTTGGCTTATAGAATGACCGAAGTCGAACGTTTCTCCTCTCACTGCCAAAGTTTCTGGCAGCAACGGTGTTAAGCCTTAATATTTACTCTAATCCTCCAGTGTTGAGGAAGGAAGGTAGAGAAATTCTGGTGAGAACAGTTGTCTGGAAGATTTTTTGTTGAGGCATGTTAGAAAGGCTGCTGGGAGCCTAGAGTAGGGAGCTGCTCCAGATTTGTGAGTTCCGTTTTAATTTCCCTTGGAAACCTCACGTGGGCGGAGGCCAGCGCCTGGATGTGCGGGGCTGCACTGAAGCCCTGCCCATCAAGGGACCCGTCCGGGGTCTGTAAGCCCCTTTCCCCGCCCACCCATCATCTGGCCGCGCATGCGCTGAGCCGGCGGGCCGGAGACTTGTCGGCTGGGAAATGGCGGCCGCGGGCTTGGTCGCTGTGGCTACTGCTGCAGAGTACTCTGGCCCAGTAGCGTCGGGAGGTAACCTCTCCGTTGTTAACTGCGGCCCGAACTCCGGGGCAGGCCCAGGTCCTGGCCCGGGCTCATGGAGCCGCTCCCTCGACCGAGCGCTGGAGGAGGCGGCGGTAACCGGGGTGCTGAGCCTGAGCGGCCGGAAACTGAGGGAGTTTCCCCGGGGAGCGGCCAACCACGACCTGACGGACACCACCCGGGCGGGTGAGTGGGGTGGGGGGTATCCCTGCCAACAGGAGGCCCGGGGCGCGGTCGGAGGCCGCCGCAGCCGATGCGGAGAATCGCGGGTCGTTACGTTAACTGGTCCCATTACTCCTGGTCTGGACCCAGGTACCGGGGAGAAGCCGACTGCCCCAACCCACCCAGCCCTGGGGCCTGCGGGCCAGACCCCGAGCCTGGGGCGAGGCGGACAGCAGCATCTCTTGAGAAAGAGGGCCATAGGGGACTGATGGGGAGTGTTTTACTCTCTTAGAAAATTAACTTGTGCCGCTGCTGAGGTAGACCCTTGCTCCGCCCCGGTTTTTGCAGGCCCTTTCGTATTGGGGATGCCAAATTGACTTTACTAAGATTTAGGTTTGTAGCACGCTCTTAATCGGAGTCGCATTGGTCGCTGCATTGTCAGGAAAGCATGACTCCCGCATAGGCGATTTTTTTCAAGAGTTGTTGTTTTTAGTGTGAACCCGAACGCTTTAACTTTTCTTTCTCCCCTTCGTCTAGGTGACTTACCAAATGTACTTGCAAAAATAACGAGAGCCCACCTTCAGACTCTCACTCCTTTCCTCTTTCCTCAGGCCCCCTTAAAAAAAGTTGAAGGAAGAAAACTGTTTAGAAAAGATGCATAGGTTGCCTACCGTATCTGTATTTAATGCTTTTTAAAAACAAACATCAGTTTGCCTTATACATATTTTTTTAACACAGAAAAGAAAATAAATTAGGTAGTATTTGGTTTTCTTAGTTGTAGAGAACAATGTCTGGTTACTGAGGTGTTCAACATAATATGTTTTTCTTGTGTTTAAAATATAGCTTTCTCGGGGAGTAGATTAAAAACAGTCAATCCCCTTATATATAGTGTGGTATGATGTAATTATTTTCATATACCTTTCCTAAGGTGTTAACTTCTATGTTTGTGCACTCATTAAAGATTGCTAAGTATTACATATGATTCACTTATTTTAGAAAGATAAGCAAAACTGTTACACTACTTCAAGAAACTATTCTTTCCAAAGAAACTTTTGCTCTAGTGTAAAATGGAAGGAATCAAATACCTATTTGTTTAATCTTTTTGGAAACAGTTGTACTGAATATAGTTTGTATTTTTTAGTGAACGACATTACGATTAAATTTTCTTGCTGATGTAAATATGAGCAGCCACTTGGCTTTTGCATGTATTCTGAGAGACAACATCTAAAATTGTCATTCATACCCCAGATTTCGCGATTCTGTTCAGGAGATGGCTATATGGCATATGACTGTTCAGGAGATGGATAGCATAGTGATTTCATATGGGCATGAATCATTTCAGTATTAGTACATTAAGCGTGGAGTTAAAGAATACGTTGATCACAGGAGTTTATCTGGCTCACTATCTTACCTGCTTTTAAATAGTTCTAGGACCAGTGTGTTTCGCCTTTAAGAAATATTTTTTTAACTAACAAAACCCAAAGGCATTTATGAAGAATAATAAGTAATCTCAATGAATTTTTTTCCTTACTATGCCCTGAATTTTTAATTTGTTATTATCCACACTTATTTTTATTACTTTAATAGTTTCTTTATAAACCAAATTTTTTGTTGGCTGACATTTTATCTGGCCAGAAAAAGTGTAGAGGGGAAGAAAAAGATTACAAGGTACTTTATAACCTATTAGACTAGATTAATTTCTAGCATGTTAGAAATATCACTTATTAAGTGTAAGAAATTTTTGGCAGACCTTGGTGAGTACAAAAATACTGAAATATTCTCTGAATTATTTTAAAGAGGTGATTTGATGTGGATAACATCATTGATTGAGTTTTCACTGTTTACTATTCATTGGTAGGTGTTTAAAATACATTGCCTTGTTAAATGCTTAACAACCAATGGATTAAATATTATTATCCCTCATTTACACATGAGGAGTCACTCAGAATTTACAGATGAGTCACTCAGAGAGAATCATATAAATAATATTAGTGGCAGAATTTCAGCCCGGTTCCATCTTACTCTTTTCTCTCCACCAAGCCACACGGCCTTTTTACGTACAGATAGATATTACCATTCCTGTTTTTACAGATAGTGAAACCAAGGTTGGGAGAGAAAGATAATTTGCTCAAAGACCTGTAGCTAAAGGCCAAGGAAGGTGTTGTTAGCCGGGATTTGAGCCTAACTGAAATCCTGTTTGAGGTAACTCCAAAACCATAGACTACCTGTTACACAGGGTACTTTGAATTCAGACCCAACTTTTGTTAGCTAAAATGTTTTGTTTGGGCCCTATAGAAAATTTAAAGCCAAAAAAATTATTTGAATGTTATATTAAACTTGCCACACGGTCTGTTCTTTCCTAATGTATAGAATGTATCTGGTAGAGCTGCTGTCCTTACATTTTAAGAAACAGCACATATTACCCATACCATTTATAACTTGACATGATTAGAATTCATCATGCAGCATTTTTTTGAGGTTTTCCCCTCCTGTTTGTTTTAAAAGGTAGATCTTTAGAAAAAGGGAAATATTTATTTGGGAATGAGTTACTTGATCCAGTGAACAAGGAAAATCTTAAAAGAAATCATGAAAGACTTTTGGGGGCAGAAAGGTTGTAGCTTGGATTTGGGGAGGCAGAAATGAGAAGGAAGGCCATTCCAGGCAGTGGAATGGGTCCCACCCCGACACAAGGGTGTGCACATAATTCAGGGTTAGCCAGTCAATGTAGTCCATTCCTCTGGCAACAGTGATGGTTCAGAGATAGGCACATTTTCCTGTCAGCACATGAGAGAGTTAATTTTTTATTGGAACTATTGAGAAAGAGGCATGCTTTGAACTCTGGGGTTGCTGAGAGAATAGAATGTGAACCTGGAGCTTGCCAATAAATTGAAAGCAGAGCCAAAAGATGGAAAGAGTGAGGCCAAGTTCTGATGGTAACCTTTGAACTTTTGGATCAATAGCCAGGCCTTAAGTTAGCGGTATCCTTGGACTTTCAAATTATGCAAGCTAATAAAATTCTTTTATTGCTTATTCTGAGTAGACTTTTTGAAACAAAATAGGAGTCCTGACTGATACAGTGAGACTGCTCTTGATGAAGTTGTGGGGAGGTCAGCTTGATCAGAATAAATGGTTGGATTAGAGAATATGAGAGCTACCTTTTGCATTTGAGGCAGCTAGATTGATGATAGGTTTGGAGAGAGGGAGAGTAGTCAACAGTCATTCATTCAACAAACATTTATTGACTAAGGGATTTTCAGGTGTAGATATACAAAGAGGACCAAGACACTCCCTGTCCTCAAAGAACTTAAGGGATCTAATGAAATAGAATAAATAGATGTAAAGATTATTTGAATTGTCTAATAATAGCAAAACTTTATGTGTAAGGCATTATGCTAGATGATACAGTGGAAACAAAAACAAGAAGAGACTCTAACCTGTAAGCATTAAAAATCTAGTAATTTGTTTGGCCGGCTGCAATAACAATTCAGGAATGAAAAACAGAGATCACATTGGAAAATAAAAGTGTACAAATGCTGACTGAATTTATTTTTTTTAAAGAGACAGAATGCATCAAGTTGACTGAGCTATTAAACCTGTAGGACTAGGAAGGTGGTAATGCTACTGATAATAATAATAGTGAACATTTATTGAGCTGTTAGCATATTCCAGGTATTGTACTAAGCTGTATATATAAAATGCACATAAAAAAACCATGAGTTGTAAGTACTAGTTTTAACCCCATTTTACATATGAAAAAATGTAGACTTGAGATTAATCTGATCAAGGTTACACAGCTAATAAATGACAGAACTGGGATTCAAATTCAGATACATCTGATCCTGAAACTTCTGTTTTTGATAACTAAGCCACTGACAAAGAAGTTTGCTACACAGTTTCTTTAGTTTGCCTGATAACTTTAAGTGTCTGGTAGCGCATCTAGTTAATCTTTAGCAGCAAATAGAAATGTAAATCTGGAACTTTTAAGAGTGAAGTTAGAACTATAGCATAAATTTGAGACAGTCATAATGAAGAGTTTATCTGATTCTTGGAGAAAGAGGGTCACTGGTAACCATGGGGTACACCAGCATTTAAAAAGGCAAGAAGAGGAATCAGCCTGAGAAAAAACCATAAACAAAGTTTTGTAACCAGGCCTGTACTAGAATTAGGAGAATCCTAAAGCCAAAGGAACCGTAGTAACCATCTTAAGTTATTTTACAGATGAGAAGCAGTCTCAAAGATTAAGACTTTGTTTAAGATTATATGTAGTGAAGTGGTGCTGTTTTACAGAAGGCAAATAGGGTCATAGTCGAAGGTGTAAGAAATCTTTTCTGAATGGAAGATCGAAAACAAGGAACCAAGGATTCAGCTTTGGGAAAAAGCCTGTGGTTGATGGCAGACGGGGAAGACTAAGATTACACAAAAAAAGGAAACAAATTGAGATGTAGTGGGTGAGCCAGGGTAACACAGTCTTATTGAAGCCGTGAGCGTTAAGGCTTTAAAGAATTGCGGGGGGGTGGGGGTGGGGGCAGAAAAAAAGAACTGGGTACTTATTTCCCATGTAAAGAAGAATGAGGAGTGCCTGAAGGCCATTTAATTTTTCAAAAAAGCAATCTGTAAACCACAAAATTATGGTTTTGTTAGTCTTGGAAATATGCACTGGAATGCCAGGTCTTAAGTGGAAATCATATTTTTCTTGGATCCTTATTTATGTATATTTTGTATCAACCACAGTATATGTACCGTGAATTTTTCTACAACAGTGCTGTCCAATATGGTAGCTACTAGCCGTAAGTGGTTATTAAAATTAAAATAAGTTAAAATTTAAAAATTTTGTTCCTGGGCTTCCCTGGTGGCGCAGTGGTTAAGAATCTGGCTGCCAATGCAGGAGACATGGGATCAGGCCCTGGTCCAGGAAGATCCCACGTGCCGCAGGGCAACTAAGCCCGTGTGCCACAACTACTGAGCCTGCGCTCTAGAGCCCGTGAGCCACAACTACTGAGCCTGCGTGCTACAACCACTGAAGC